TAGGCTTGGGATTCAGTTACACATCAAAACAGACACTATTTATAAACAAGAATAAGGTTTATTCAGCACAGAGCTTTGCAGTTAGACTAATAAGGATTTAAAAATAACAAAGGCTAGGGCAGTGTTTGCCTTAACTAAACATAATGCTTCATATTTACCAAGTCAGGAACAGTTATCAGTCCAAAGTAGTCCATTGTAATAATCCAGTAGCCCCAAGGGATTTGGAGCAAGAAGTCCATCTTTGCAAGCATGCAGCCATGTGCTCAGCTCCAAAGCAGTTCTTTGTCTCTGCCAGAGACCACATGGCAGGACAGCATTTCAGGTGGACAGCACACAGAGCAGCAGAGATAGCAGGAACAGAAGAGAGAGAGAGTTCCTCTCATTGGGAATGACCAGATATAGGGCAATCCCAGTCCCAAATTAGCCCTGGCCAGGGGCCAATTGGAGTAGACATGGGAGTGTCCAATTGTTTAGTTGCCATGGGTGCAACATCTGAATGGTCAGGACACTGGAGGCCACACCTGCAGTCATGTGACCCCAGCTCCAGCTAGTCCATGGGCTATGTGCGTTTCTGACATGCTTGCAGAGGCCATCTGGTCTCTGTCAGCATGGAAGTGTGAAGAATGTGGGGTTATATGGCAGGGGTATTGAGGCCATTTGGCTTCAACAGGAACAAGGCACAGCATGGCATCAGCAAGACATTCCAGGGGAAAGCATGAAACCTTTAGAAATCAATATTTCTATACATCTACACACTTGGCCTTAGCCAAAAAGCTTGAGAAGCTTCACTGTGTTATGAAAGAATCATAATGAAGAATTTGGCAGATGCTATCATAATATAATATTACTGTGCTGTAATAGTTGTATAAATGCCCAACACTGATACACGCTCCTATCATTTCAAGATCAGTAGAAAAGAAAATCGGTCGAGTAATTTCTTTAAACTGTTCACTTGAAATGGATTTATCACCTATCATACCATTTCTATCTGCCAAAACAAACTGTGCTTCTTATGTCAGGTGATCATCAGAGACAAGCAGGATGTTCACAGTGTGGGAAGAAAAGATTCAGAAACAATCTGTTTTACTCTTCACAAGTAAAAGAAAGTAACCGATGCTTAAAGATTTGTTACAAAGTTTCAGAGCGGCTTACAATCCCTTTCCCTTTCCCTTCCCCTCCCCACAACAGGTACCTTGTGAGGTAGATGGGGCTGAGAGAGCTATGAGAGAACTGTGACTGACCCAAGGTCACACCAGCAGCTGCATGTGGAGGAGCGGGGAATCAAACCCAGTTCTCCAGATTAGAGTCCGCTGCTCTTAACCACTACACCATTGGAGATAATAGGTATTGATGTCACAAACTTATTTCTACAAAGTCTCAGAACTCTTATCTTCAGAAGGCTCTTCAGAATATATGTTCAAGGCACTTTCAGAGATAACTAAACCTTGAACACTGTTATATATATATAGAGAGAGATGCTACTGTAACCACATCCATCTGACAATTGAAGTTTGACTTCTCGTAGAGGGAAAAGGCTCTACACACCTGCCATTTTGTTTGAAAAGGGGCAACACATATATTCCAGCTTCAGATTCCCAGTTCTGATACACATGTACTGAAGCTGAAAAGACATACATAGCACCTTTTAGACAAAATCGGACTTGTACCTATTGTGCACAGCACATTCTCCCCTTGGGTTGCCAACCTCTACGATTTTTATAAATTACCACCCATCTCCAGACTGCAGAGATCAGTTCCCTTTGAGAAAATGGCAGCTTTGGAGGGTAGACTTTATGGCATTGTACCCTGCTGAAGCTCCTCCCCTCCCCAAACTCCGCCTTCCCTAGGCTTCACCGTCCAAATCTCCAGGAATTTCCCAACTGGGGATAGCAACCCTAAGAGCTGAGAACCAAATGAAAAATGTTGCCAGCAGTAGTGTAATGCTTTGTAATCAATTTACCACCACAACAACCCAGGCTATTATTCCTGATTCTGACACTTAGATGTGCTTGATCAAGACAGCAAATGTTGCTGCATAGTATTGGAAGACATTCTATGTTACTACTGTAATAAAAGTAGATCCTGTTGAAAGTGGCTGAATTAAGAACGAGTATCTGTCCCTTCCACATAATAAACAGGCCTTCTCCCGGGTCACTGTTTCTCCCTCAGTGGACATTACTGGCCCACAAGACTCCAAACTGTCTGTGGCCTCCTCTGTGAAGATATGGATGTCTGGAAAAATTTGGGAAAATCTTTTCCCCCATGATTTTTCCCCACTTGTTTTCGAAAAGGGAAAAAAGGAAAATTTCCAAATGAAAAATGTTGCCAGCAGTAGTGTAATGCTTTGTAATCAATTTACCACCACAACAACCCAGGCTATTATTCCTGATTCTGACACTTAGATGTGCTTGATCAAGACAGCAAATGTTGCTGCATAGTATTGGAAGACATTCTATGTTACTACTGTAATAAAAGTAGATCCTGTTGAAAGTGGCTGAATCAAGAACGAGTATCTGTCCCTTCCACATAATAAACAGGCCTTCTCCCAGGTCACTGTTTCTCCCTCAGTGGACATTACTGGCCCACAAGACTCCAAACTGTCTGTGGCCTCCTCTGTGAAGATATGGATGTCTGGAAAAATTTGGGAAAATCTTTTCCCCCATGATTTTTCCGCACTTGTTTTCGAAAAGGGAAAAAAGGAAAATTTGGGAAAACACTGAAAACAACTCCAATAAAATATTCTCTCTTGTAGAATTTGAGGATTTTTAAAAACTCAAACTTTACTCCCTCAGACTGTGTAGTATGAATTTTTTAATGTAAGACAACCTATAGCATTAGATCAGAGGTTTTGAACTAATTTGTTATGAGGGCAAGATCTGACATAAATGTAACCTTGTTGGGCCGGGCCATGCGTGCTATAAAATGTAACATAACATACCAGAGATATAAACTTTATGGAGACCCCGGCCACACGTGCCGGAAAATGGGGGGGAGGCGTGGCTATTTGCTGTGCCGCAATTAGCCACGCTGCAATTAGCCGCGTGACAATGCGATCAGACGCATTGGTGGCAACCCACGGTTCCGGCCCTCGGCGTGTGCGCAGCAATGAAGACGGCCAGAGGGAAAAGCTGCGCCAGCGTGATCACACCAAGGGAGTCCGGAGGCAGCCTGTGGCAAACCTTCGAGGAGGTATTTTTTTATCGTGCATTTTCGGCGGCATGCCACGGGTTGGCCACAGGTGCACTCCACTTGCCAGATGTTGTGGTGTGATCACGCCCTGAAAATCCGCTATCCAATCGTGGCTCTCCCGCAGCAAATTCGCCATGTGAACGGGGCCAAAGATGATTTCAGATGCCTAATGGCAATAGCAGACATGATTGGATTAGGTGTGATATATGCAGAGGGGAAGTAGGTGTGGAGATATCAGCATTAGTAATGAGACAGGAAACCCAGGTCTCAGTTTCATCCAGGAGGATTCAGTCCAGGAGGATGCCAAAATAGTACCAACCATATGCTATAAATATTACATTTTATGCCATTAAAGTCATAAAATAAGTTTAGACTTGATAGGAAAATAAGCATTCGATATATTTTAATATCCCCTCAAACGTTCTCTTTTCCCCAGCAGTGGAAAAACCCAATGTTTTTTTCTTGAGAAAGAGAGGAAAATGTGGGAAGTGGTTTTTTCTTCCGTGTCTTCAATTTTGGGGGGGGAAATGTTATCTTCCAATACCTCTGTGGACATGACAGCCCTATAAAATGGTATAAAACAGGGGGCCCCAATGTGGTGTTTGTGGGCACCATGGAACCCACTAGCACCTTTTCTGGTGCCTACCAAGTGTTTTTAGAAAGTGGGTGGGGCTAGGTGGGGCTTTTCCCCAGCAAGGCTTCTGATTGGCTGTTCAGATTTTTTAAAATGTTGCATTGGCAGCAGCTGCCAGTACAGTACAAGGATCTTCACTGAGTGACTGAAGCACTGTGGTAGCCATTTTGCAGCAGCTGTTTTGTGGCTGGCTCTGCCTCCCAGAGCCACCATTTTGTGGCTGTGCCCACCATGCCGTGTCAGAAATTCAAAGGTGCCCATAGGCTGAAAAGGGTTGGGGACCACTGGTATAGAATGTTATCAGAAAAGAGAAACCTATGGAAGCCATTTTGAAGAACTCGCATTCTTCTGCTTGTTCTCAGTACACAAACTTGCTGATCACTTACTTGACCTTCATCTTGTCCAACACTTTGGTGAGCTTCTTGGCTAGCTTCCCCAGTCCTTCAGCATAAGTAATCTCCAAATTAGCTCTGTCAACAAAGTCACCAGAAATCATTATGCAGTTGCTTCTCTCTCTTAGACACTGCTTTGTAGAAAACTGAACCAGGCAAAAAAAAAAGAGAAGGAAACCCTCTGAAACATGAAAATGGTTGTCTTATAGCAAATGCTTAGATGTAGTGAATGCTTAGATGTGTAACTGGCACCAAAATCAAACACATTAATTCCTAGACACATAACAACAACAAAAGGACTTGTGACAATTTAGAATACCTGAAGACTGCAATGCAAATTTATACCCTTCAAAGTCTATTGTGGACTTATTGTGTAGCTCAGTTTAGAATTGCATTGGAAGCAACCAATCATGCTAGTGATGGCCAACCAGATGGCCCCTGAAAGCCTACACTGGTCACACCCTCCCCTGGTTTTGCCCCACCCCATGCACTGGTATTCAGAAGATTAGTCATTGTGGCTAATAAATCCATGAATTTGTCTAACAGCCTTTTAAAGATATCTATACTTGTGGCCATCATTACATCCAGTGGCAGTGAATTCCACAAGGTAAGTACTCTTTGATTGAGGAAGCACTTCCTTTTGTTTGCCTATCCATCTGCTGCCCATCAATTTCACCGGGTACCTGCAAGTTCTAGTATCATGGGAGTGGGACAGTATTATCACTATCCACTTCCTTCATCCTATTCTTAATTTTCTAACCCCCTGTCATGTTCCCTCTTAGTCTTCTTTTCCCTAAAGTAAAAAGCTCCAGATTACTCATTCCAACCCCTTGGTCATTTTGGATGTCCCTTTCTGTACCTTTTCTGCTATTACAAGAACCCTCTTTAAGGTATGACAACCAGGTCAGTTCACAGTATTCCAAATGCAGCTGCACCATTACAATACACAATGTTTTGTTCATTCTTAATAACTTCTTGTAAATTAAGCAAATAAATAAATAAATGCCCATAATTGTGAGAGACCAAGTCAACGTTTTCATCAAGCTATCCATCACAATTGTAAAACCTCCTTCCTGGTTAGTCATCACCTCTTCAGACTGCCTCAGTTAGAATTTTTGTCCCAAGGTGAATCACCTCTCACTTTCTCTGAACCTCATTTGCCACACTGTCACGGGTTCAGCCAACTTGGACAGATCCGTATGGAGTTCTTCACAATCTGCTTTGGTTCTTTTCATCCTAAATAATGTAGCATCCTCTACAAATATGGCTTTGGTAGCCTGCTTGCTCACCTGCAGTTCCCGGAGATTTACAAATAGCACTGGTTCCAATACTGATCCCTGTAGAATCTGACGTCTCACTTCCCAGCATTGCAAGAACTATCCATTTATTCCTACTGTCTGCCTAGTGGCTTTTATTCAGTCCTTTTATCTCATTAGTGCCACTGTTATGTTTACTCAGGAGCCTTTGGTGAGGAATTTGGTCCAAAGTTCTTTGGAAGTACAAGTATATAATACCAACCAAAAGTTGGAGAGACAGGACTTCCTTTAAAGAAGCCATGCTAATTCTTCCTCAAGGACTTGTTCCTCTATGTGCTTAAACCATTATATCTTCAATAATAGTTTCCACCATTGTACCCAAAACAGATGTTAAACTTGTATGTAATTTCCTTGCTCCACTCTGAAAGCCCTTTTGAAAATGGGTATTGCATTTGGTATTTCCACAGGAAGGGAGGCTGAATTTATACTTAGAAAAAATAATATAAAATATTTTTTAAAAGGAGATAATCTCAGCCAGCCACTCAGAAGCTTGTAGATTCTCAACAAGCATATGACAACAGAACCCCAAACAATAAAGATTTAGGTCTGTGTAGTTTGTTAGTTGAACTACCTCATGAATTACTTTCCTTCTGGTGGGCTCTAATTGGATTTTACACTTTCTGTTGTAAAGACCATTGCTCTTTGGATTTTGTGCAAAAGGAAAGTAGATCTTAAGGACCTACTTAAATTTCCTGAAACGTCATCCGATGCACATGTCTGCAAGCAGCAACCTATACCCTGACAGCAATTATTTGTCACAGCCCTCCCCCCAAACCCGGTAGTCCATAATTCATGTCACTCAAGCAGTGCAAGATTGAAACAGACATCACCTCTCCTAAGCTTTCTGCTAATGCACCGTCATGAATCAGTTATGCCCTGTTTGTCCTTGGTGTTCACGTAATTTACATGAGAAAATTGGTTTGTCTATCTCAGCCATTCCCACTGGCTTTTTACTACAATGCGATTCCCCAGTCCCTGGAGCAGAAGACAATGCTTTTTGAATGAAAGGCGGGGCAGGTGACAGATACAAGAACATAGGCAACTAGGCCTGACACAACATTAGCAATTAGTACATATTACAAACAATTGCACACATTGTCTGCCATTACGGTGCACTAAAGTAACAAAATGTATGTGTTGGTCTCTAAGGTACTAATGGACTCTTAAGGAGCTACACCTGAATCTATCTCTTCTAACCCCATAGCAAAGATGGCTACCCTCCTGAAATTATGTGCAGAAATGGCTCTCTTGCTTGCATGGGGTTGAATCTGTTGGAAGTTCCAGGTGCAATGTCCCCTGTCTGAGACCTCCAGACTATGAGTGGCAGGAGAGGCTAGATAGCTACATAGGCACACTGACCTTTCTTCCTGTCTTTAGTCTTCTGGCGCTGTCCTCTTTGAAACGCAGATTGTGTTCTCAGGGATCATTTCCCCTTCCTTCTTCTCTCTCACTCTGTTGGAGACAAGCTCTCTTCCTGCATGCACCAAGAGAGAGAGAGAGAGAGAGATGCGGTCCTCTCTTGGCACCATGAGGGAGATGGGCCTCTTGCCATCTGCTTCTATCCTTTAGCTAGTAAGTTAGTACTCTATCCGATCTCTGCTATTTCCTATCCAAAGTGTACTTCTCAAATAAAGAGAGAAGTATTTCTCTTCTAGGAACTGCGGTGGCTCAAGTGGTTAAGACGCTGAACTGCAGGCTGTGGAAGGTCAGTAGTTCAGCGGTTCAAGACCCGGGTGCCGCAAGACGGGGTGAGCTCCTGTCTCTAGTTCCAGCTCCTGCCAACCTAGCAGTTCGAAAGCAAGAAATTGCAAGTAGATAAATAGGGACCACTTCGGTGGGAAGGTAACAGCGTTCCGTGCGCCTTGGTGTTTAGTCATGCCAGCCACATGACCACGGAAATGTCTTCGGACAGCGCTGGCTCTTCGGCTTTGAAACGGAGATGAGCACCGCAACCCTAGAGTCGGATTCGACTGGCTTTCAAGCAAGGGAACCTTTACCTTTACTATTTCTCTTCTAAACTTGCAACATGGCTCTGTGTAGCTTTGTAAGCTGAGTAACCTGGTAAAGAGATGCAGCTACATTTGTAGCTTTAAGCACTCTGCTAGCTAGTGGTGACTGGACTAACCACACCAGTTAATCTCAATAGAATCCACGCTCCTACAAATAAATGGAGTTGACAGAAGTGGATCTATCTCCCCTTTCCCAGCAATCCTTTGCACGTCCCATAAAGCCACTTTTGGGTCTGGAGGTTCTTGGGAACAATATTTCTACCTCTGGAGTACATTTTTACCCTTCTCTTCCTCCCAGGAGCAAAGATGTGTATGGTTCTCTCCCATTTCACGACGACCATGTGAGATAGATAGGGCTGAGAGAGACCATCCATTTCATTTATTAGCTTCATTGACCCGAGGTCTTAAGCCAAACATGCAAACAACAAATATAAAATGCATTACATAAAATTACAAGAAATTTAGACAGAACGCCTTTACAATAAAAGCTAGTAAACATGCTCTCAATCAGTAACATCAGACCACATTTTATAAACTTCAATGAATTCTATAAAATCCCATGATATTATGGAAATTAGTTTTAAAATTTTAAAATTGTATACAAAAGGTACTCATAACATTTCAAAGCCGCTTTAAAAATAGCACTATTGAAAGATATTTTGCCACCAAGCGAGTCGTTTCAGGGTCCTCATCAGCTAATAGTATGGTTATCACCCAGGGTGGCCTTTGGCCTGATCCAACATTGGCGTCTCTTATGTTCTTATGTATGTTCTTATCCCTCTGGCTCTCACCAAAATGTCACACATCATAGGAAGCTGCATCAAGAAGGGGAAATTCAATGTCAACCCCTCTCCACTTCTGGGTGAGCTTTAACTCTGCGCGTGCAAGTGCGTGAATATGTGTGTCTGGATGGATTTGGGCAGATTCCCCTTTCTTGCTACAAGCCCCTACTGAGGTTGTATTGATGTGGAGGAGGAGGAGGAGTTGGATCTATACCCACCTCTTCACTCAGAGCGGCTTACAATCACCTTCCCTTCCTCTCCCCACGACAGACACCCTGTGAGGTAGGTGGGGCTGAGAGAGCTCTTTTGAGGACTGCTCGTGAGAGAACAGCTCTGAGAGCATTGCGACTGACCCAAGGTCACACCAGCTGGCTGTATGTGGAGGAGCGGGGAATCAAACCCAGGATTCAAACCTGTGGGAATCAAACCCGGTTCTTCAGATTAGAGTCCTCCACTCTTCTTAACCACTATGCCAAAAGGAAGTCTTGCCTCATGAACATTTTGGTGTTCTTTGAAAAGATCAGCTAACACATGAACAATGGTAATCTTGTAGACTTCGACTTCCAGGTTCTAAACCAAACGCTTCTGAGTAAATGTAGCACTGATGAGATAAGAGGACTGTTCTTCTTGTGGATTAGAAAACTGGTTAAATGCCAGAAAGCAGACTGTAGGTCTAAAAAGGACAGTTCTTGAAATGGAAGGAAGCAGGTGATGGTGTTCTACCAGGATTGGTATTGGGACCAATTTTATTCATTTTCTTCATAAATTAATTGAAATTGGAGGTGCACAACAAGGATTTCCAGTGGTACCCTTACAGAGTGCTGCAGGAAGCTGCTGGGAGAGGGGGAAAGGAAGAAAGTTCTGCTTGCATGAACCCTTCTGTTTGCAGGAGCTAAGATCCAACAGTCCGATAATATCAGCCCATATAGGGCTGGTTCACACATGCATGTACACAAGTTCAATCCTTTGGT